CCTGGTGGGTCTGGCAATTTTTTTCTCTTTTCAAGCAGTTCACTTCCCTGCCTGATACTTTGAATTTGACGTTCTCCCGATCCTTTCAAAGAATTAATCACTTTCTTTCACTTCTGGTAGGGTCCAGAAACTGACCGTGGTTGGGCCCCCTGGGGGAGGGAAAAGACCCAAGTGCCATCAGTAGGTGTGGCACGTGTTGTGAGCTGCCTTTGGAGTTCGAGTCCTGGTGGGTCTGGCAATTTTTTTCTCTTTTCAAGCAGTTCACTTCCCTGCCTGATACTTTGAATTTGACGTTCTCCCGATCCTTTCAAAGAATTAATCACTTTCTTTCACTTCTGGTAGGGTCCAGAAACTGACCGTGGTTGGGCCCCCTGGGGGAGGGAAAAGACCCAAGTGCCATCAGTAGGTGTGGCACGTGTTGTGAGCTGCCTTTGGAGTGAAAAACCTGTCAGCGCCTTTTTTTTTCTTTCTTTTTTTTACTGAATACCACAGTACCATCAGATGCTGCACAGCGGGGGCGGTGGCATATTGGATGGAAGTGGGGGCGGGGCAAAAGTAACTCCTCCGACCAAAGGTCTCGGAATCATCGTTACTCCTGTGCGCCGATACATAGGAGAAAAGAAACATGTGCATCCAAGAGGGAAGCACCGGCTTTGCAAACGATAATGGGGATAATTTGAGATTGAGATAGGACAAAACAATAGTAAAAGCAGTGCACCATAGGAAGATGGAGAGAACTGATAATCGGATTTTAAGGCTGAGCGAAGGGGATCAAAGAGGGGTAGAAGGGAGCTGGAGTGCGGTCAGTATAATTAGGCTGGTGTGTTGGCAGAGATCATAGCCTGTCTGTGGCCCACTCCCACTTGCTGCGCCGCAAGTGGTCGTTGACGTTTTTCTTGAACGTGTGCATACCTCTGCGAGAAGGGGGAGACTGCAGAAGGGTAGGTGGGAGCTGATTCCACGTTGCGATGAGGGAGTGGGGAAATGTCTAGGTTTGGCCTGGTCCCAAAGTGTTCATTTTCGTTCTCTTCTGCTGCTTCTGTTGCACAATGCGTGTACATTTTGAATGTGCGTTTTTGTACTCTGCCCACGATCGTATCATGTGGATCGAGCGCAATAATTATCATCCGTTGCCATGACCAGCATGAGTACGTTATGTGCTCACTGTTGCAAAAGAAGGATCCATGAGCGGGATTCGAACCCAGCACTCCTGTCTTTCCGGGACAGTGTCCTACCGATTGAGCTACCGGGGACCACACCTACACTCATGGGTCCTTCTTGCTACATCACTCACTGCTTCACCGCTTGCAGCATCTTTATTCTGTATGTATACAACCCAGTTCCTGTGTGTATGGTACCGGATTTGAGATGGCCACTTCAGCATTTTTGGGCTGTTGTGGCTCTTTGTTGTTTTGTTATTTTCTGAGTTGACTGGTTGTTGAAACTGAGAGAGAACGGGTCGCTGAGAGTGAGTGGTTTTCGATGTGCATTCCCACTGTCATCCCAACTAGTACACCACATCACTTGTCCCGTCGCCAAAATTGAGCCATGCTCAACTTCTGCGATGGCCCAGTTGTGGCAGTTGTGCGTCGCATCGAGCATCGCATCGAGCACCGCATCGCATCGAGCATCGCATCGAGCATCGCATCGAGCATCGCATCGAGCATCGTATCGAGCATCGCATCCCAAAAATGCTTCTCTGAATCTCGCTAGCTTAAATCTACAATTACGGTCACCATAGTGACCGTACTTTCGTATAGTGACCTATAGAGCGTAGCGGCAAACATGGAACATTTACGACAGAAAATGTTCCGAAAAATGTAGGGCCAAACAGGTTGGCACCAATGCGTAACCTATGAACCACATGTGTTTGTAACCTGTGAACATGAACAAGAAAACAACGAGCAAAAAAAAACACAGTGTAGAAAGGAAAAAAATCGAAGAAGAGAGTGGACTACAAACATTGATGGTAGTTCAATTTGCGTGGGCCTCCGTGGCGGAGTTCTTGGAATCTCATTGTTATGATGAAGGAGCAGGAAATACGAATAGTGAGTACAGAGTCCAAGTTTAAATACACCTGCTACAAGCTCCTCAGTGGAGGTAGATAACGAGTGAATAGCAGATGAAGGAATTAAGAACTCAGATGGTGAGCCAAGGAAGAAATTGAAACATGAAAAATTGTGGGCACAAGCTATGCGATTGAGTCCACCAACTGAACCAGATTTTGAACAGTCAGACGTGCACGATGTCGCCTGACTGTTCAAAATCTGGTTCAGTTCGTGGACTCGATCGCATAACTTGTGCCTACATTTTCCAAGATAAAGGAATGAGTTTATTTGTAGGGCAAAGTGACGCACTTTCTACAAAGTTGTTGTTGTAGGGGCACACGTAGAAAGTGGTGGTGTGTATCAGTGGTGTGCGCCTACAACAACAACTTTGTCATCAATGGCAGGAGGGACAGCGGAGGAACCTCACACAACGGGCGGGCAGTGCAGTGAATGCCCCATGGACCTCTGGGACCGTCGCCTCGTCTGGCCTTCCATTTTCTCTCACCTCGTCGTCACATCACTACGGGACCATTAAGTTCGATCTATCATTATGGATGTATGCGTGGCAACGTTATCGCGAATTTCTAATAGATTGTCTGCTTCACACGCTTGTCTATATTCTAGCGCCATCTGTAAGCATGTTCCAGCAGCACTGTATGTGTCGTTATCACCTTTAGAACTTTTGACACCTTCAACTTCTTTGGGTAAGCCACTTTTCTATTTAGGAAGTGCGCAATTGGGCCACTTTACCTTACAAATATACTCATTCCTTTAATTGCTTTATTCATTACCTACATCCACCGAGGAGCTCTCAATCAGTGAAACAGCTTCCTCGCTATTAAGTATGGTGTTGTGAATGTGGACAAACAATGCAGTGGGGAGAGGGGGACGTTCTAGATTATTTTCAAATGGCCGCCGGAGTTTTTGTCGATACTGAGTTATTATTAGAGGCACTAGACATATTCACTGCGGGTCGAAAGAAAAGCACTGAGGCAGCCTCCATTGGAAGCAAACATAGCAACAACTGGTGCCAAAGCAATAACCGACGCCTCCGACTGCAGGATACTCTCATCAGCGGCCCTTGGGATGGCAATGTCCCCAAATCACACAGGCATGGCAAGAAACGAAAGTTCATTGTCGCTAAACTGGGGACAATTGGTAAGCGCAGGCAAGAAATCACGATCCAATATCCTCACAAGTTCCTAATAGGTCTCGGGGGAAGTGCTCGGATGGCTGCATATGTGATAATGCCACTTACTCTTTACTCCACAAATATAATTATGATTTGTAAGGCTCCCCCTTGGTCCCTTATGGCAGAGCTGCTCACATGCACTGCCATTTATCCCCTCAGGTGTCATGTGCAGCAGCGCGTACTATGCTTTATCTGGCGCTGCCTTCACGATGCCTCGAGCCGACTATTTAAACATTTCTTCTCCACCGTTCCATCCCCGATAACGCGGGGTAGTAGTAGTAGTAACTTGCTCCTTTTCAGCCATCCATTTCTACTCACTCGCGGCCAAGCGCACAACACAATCATGCAGATGTTATGCTATGGAATGATCTGCCTCCGGAAATTAGATGCATTGCAAGCTTTTTAGTTTTCAAGCCCAACACCATAAGCCGTTATTATCGCAAAGTTAACTATAGACCTGGTCCATTGACGCTCATATTTAGTACTTTTCTCTCCCTGCACGACTTCTCCCCACCACTCTCCTTCACTCACTATTGCCTTACCCAAGTAGGTCCAGTTTAATTTCTTTAAACCTTTTATCGATTTACCACTAAAATAAGGAATACAACAACAACATCAGGGAACGATTTACCCCGGTTCGCATCGCAGTTTGCGAATCTAAATTCACTGGCTGCGATTCGCTTTTCGTTTTTTATCGCCCAAAACTGCAATGGACTGTCCATGCATACCAGTATGTACAAAGACCATTCTGTACTGTTTGTGTGCAGTTTGCATGCGACTGTTGTACACACTGCTGACTAGGGAGTAGTATTTTACTAGTATTTTACTACTCCAACCAACTAGTCTGTACTGCTCAGGTCGCGGATCGCGCTCTGTTTGATTTTGGACACTGCACTAGCCACTGACATTATGATAGCACTGCTCGACCGGTCGTTAAAGTTTTATACACGGTGGTGACTTTCCCTGAAGTTCTCCTTTCTTCTTTCACTGTCAAGCTCAATTCGGTTTGTTTCCGTTCGACAAGACACAGTTGAAGTAGATGATTCTTAGTCTCATGTAGCCAACATGTCAGTGAATCTGATCACCGTCCAGAAGCGGGAAAAAGAACCGGACGCGCCAGGAGTGTCGATTCGTTTTGATGAAGAAAAGGAGAAAAGCGAAAATTCTGTGCGCTTTGAACGAAGTGTCACGGTCGTTTGAGCGCTTTCCTGAGCTTTCTTTGTGGAAGGAATCAGTGGAACTGCCCTGTTGAAGGACATTGTGTTGTGAAGAACTCGAAGTCGGATGGACGCTGAACATGTAACAAGCCCAAGCGAAAACCATACCGTAAAATATTCAGGTCAATCGTTCGTTTGGAAAAGCGAATAGCAACGGCAGCTATTGTCCTCTTCTGCACAAAATCCTGCTATTGTACAGATATACATGTGAACTTTCGATGAAGGAAAACTGCTATCCAATACTGGGAGTTGCTAGTTAATTGTAAAACTGTGTAGCAGTGACTGCTATGCAAAAAATCAAAGTAAATCAATCCCTGAACATGAGGAGTATGCAGCATGCGGTTGTGCTGTGGCCAGTTTGCATAATGGGAAGAGATTCTATTTAATCCCTCCACTTTTCTACATGTTTCCTTATGCTGGCGCAGCTCTCTTTGTATGCACGTTAATGGAGGGAATTCCGAAACAGCCTTGTAAACTGTAAATAGGTATTCGGCATTCGTCAAATGTATTTTATTGTTTCTGGTCTTTTGGTGTCTTTTCCAGTGGTTTGGACCACAACACTTTCCGGGAGTTTCCACCGAAACTACTCTACAGTCTTCTAGATCTTCGACTTTTGTGAGTACTTTCCAATCCCATAGTATCAAGCTTGACTCAGCTGCTATCAAACATATGGGAGTTTTGTGATATTTTGTAGTCCTCCGAGGTGTCATTTTTGGCCTGCTAGCACAATTGTGGTAGTTCCGCCGAGCTATGTCTGATATGTGCATGACTCTTGGTGTAGTGACTGTATGTTTGGTCTCTTTCATTCATGCGCTTTCAGTAAACTGCTGATATGCTAGAATTATAGTAGACCTCTCTGCACTGCGTTCTTTCTGTACGCACTCTCCACATACTGGGTATGCCATGGGTAGCAACATGCAGTCTACCGGCGACGTATGTCTCACGTGATACATGTTTTAGCTACATTGTACATATTGACGGATCATGGCGCAAGGTCGAGGAGACCAAGAGAGAGAGAGAGAGAGAGAGAGAGAGAGAGAGAGAGAGAGAGAGAGAGAGAGAGAGAGAGAGAGAGAGAGAGAGAGAGAGAGAGAGAGAGAGAGAGAGAGAGAGAGAGAGAGAGAGAGAGAGAGAGAGATAGAGAGATAGAGAGATAGAGAGACAGAGACAGAGACAGAGACAGAGACAGAGACAGACAGAGACAGGCAGAGACAGGCATAGACAGGCATAGACAGGCATAGACAGACAGAGACAGACAGAGACAGACAGAGACAGACAGAGACAGACAGAGACAGTCAGAGACAGACAGAGACAGACAGAGACAGACAGCGACAGACAGAGACAGACAGAGACAGACAGAGACAGACAGAGACAGACAGAGACAGACAGAGACAGACAGAGACAGACAGAGACAGACAGAGAGAAGAAGACAGACAGACAGACAGAGACAGAGGGAGAGATAGAGAGAGCCCGAGATTGGCGGCCAGATCCAAATTGCCTTGATTATTCCCATAGCTATGCAACGTTACTTTAGTAACGCCAAGCGTTAGCCAGGGCCCGCACAGCTTTAATTGTGTTTGCTTGTTTGTGCCTGACGGCATTGGCATGCCTGGCGCTATCCCGTACTTGTCCCGTACTGTATCATCAAAGACAGCTGGCCACGTCAAAAGCGCGATGGCCCTGCTCCATGTCATCCAGAAAGTCAATAACTAAGACTCAGTGCAGTGCCAGGGGTCATCAATTATCAGGCCTGGCGATGTCCTACGTTGGACATCCCGGAATCCAGCATGCATCTATGATGTTCGCATAGCTATCATGACACATAACTCAAAACTTTGTGCCGTGATCAAGGAAGATGAAACTTGGCACTCAAACAAACGCAATGAAGGCCTTTCATCTCAAAAGTTGTCGTTCTCCTGGCGGCTTGCCTCAAGCGAGTCGAGGTTTGTATCTTGCCTCAGCGTGTCTTTGTTCAGCGTCGAGATGGCTTCAGGTTCTCCTTTGGGTTTTGAAGGAGCTGATCCTGTACTGGTAACGGACAACAAGATGAGTATAGCTGCGTCGGACATTCAATGCAGGACTAAGCGCCAGGCGCAAACTGATGATGCTGGTGGCGAGAAGGAGAGCTCTGTGCCACACTTGAACTTTGCAGCCTAGACAGCATGTGTGGGCATGCGTATATTTTCCGCCATATTGCCAGGTGTGTCCTTACCACCATACTTATCAACCTTACTTTATGAAAAGTGCCATTTTTGACTGGATGGGTATGTTTGGCGTTGATATCAGCGATCTAATTCTCACCTTTGTTTGAAAAGAATTATCCGTCTCCGACCTCTTTAAAAAAATAGCCTAGAGGTCTATAATTTTGAAACACACTATAGTCTTGTCATCACCATCTTGTAACATTTTATCAGCCCACCAACTTCGGTGGTTGGACGGCCATGGAGGGGGGTGCGGGGTCGTCCCCCGGGAAAAAATTTCAAAAAATGAAGCCAAATGCAAGCATTTCCGGGCACTTGGTGCCATTTCAGTGTTACCACAATGAAAGATTTTTGATTCTGCAACAAACCAAGAAGACGCTACGATCGGGGACAAACATTGCAATCCCCAGGGAAAAAATTCCAAATTTGAAGCCAATTGCAAGCATTTCTAGGCATTTGATGCCATTTCAGTTGAAGTCGTAACTGCAATGAAATACTTTTTTGATTCCGCAACAAACCACAATAGGGGACAAGGATTTGCCACGTTTGTGCTGTGCTGTGATCATACGGCGCGCGTGCGCGCTTTGTTGCAGTGTGCTCAAAAAAACAAAACAAAAAAGTGGGGCGGCCAAGGCCGCCCTGGCTGTTTTTTGTTTTTGTTTTTTTTGTTTTTTTGTTTTTTCGTTTTTACTAAGGCCACAGCTTCCAATTATGACATGCAAAGCAGTGGTGCAGCCTCTCAGGCATGAATCGTGGACGTGGTGACGGGGTCTGATGTGCTCCACCGACCTAGGGTCTCGGCTTCACTGCGCAGCGAACGCGTAGAAAGAAAACGGGGAGCTAATAATTATCGAGAGATGGGATGGGGGGGGGGGGAGAAGAAGAGAAGAAAGAGATAGAGAGAGAGAGAGTGTGTGTGTGTGTGTGTGTGTGTGTGTGTGTGTGTGTGTGTGTGTGTGTGTGTGTGTGTGTGTGTGTGTGTGTGTGTGTGTGTGTGCGTGTGTGTGTGTGTGTGTGTGTGTGAATGGCTCGCCTCTGGTTCTGACGCTGACAGGCGTCGCTTTGTCGAGGCTCGTGGCAAGTGCAGAGCTGCCGTGCGTAATGCAAAGAGTGAGTGGATTGGACGTAAAGCTAATGTGGTTGAGTCAAGTCGGTTTAGTGGCAAGCACGCATGGTCTGCAATCCGTGATATACAGAAGTGCTATTCGGGATTATCACCTATCTCCATCCCATCCATCCGTGACAGTGACGGAGTTATCTGTAGCTCCCAGGAGGGGCAAGAGAAATGCTGGCTGCAGCATTTTGCCCGTCTATTGAACGTTCGCAGCACCTTCGATGCTACCATCTTTGACCACATTGAGCAGCGTGAAGTTGATGAGTAACTCGGCCAACTTCCCTTGCTAGAGGACCTCACTATGGCTATACGCCAGCTGGCTAATTGCAAGGCTCCTGGCTCATCTGGAATTGCGCCTGAACTGCTTAAAGCTGGTGGTACACCATTGCTTGAGGCTCTGCTTGATGTTATTCACACTGCATGGACCAACGGAACGGTTCCCCAGGATTGGCGGGATGCCCAACTCGTCCCGATTCCCAAAAAGGGTGACTTGACCAACTGCAACAACTGGCGCGGCATTGCTCTCCTAGATGTCGCTGGCAAGGTTTGTGGCCGTCTCATTCAGGACCGCCTCCAACTTGTCGCGGAACAAGAACTTCCAGAATCCCAGTGTGGCTTTCGCCCTGGTCGCGGCTGCGCTGATGCCATATTTTCCATTCGCCAGCTCATCGAGAAATCGTACGAGCACCGTCAGAAGCTGTTCTGTGTCTTCGTAGACTTGAAGAAAGCATATGATTCCGTACCACGCCAAGCACTCTGGCTAGCATTGGGGAGGCTAGGCATTCCTAAAGGGCTCCTCAATCTAATCCAATCGTTCCACGAGAGCATGCAGGCAGCTGTGCGCGTCGGTGCCAGCACTACCGAGTCGTTTGCGGTCAACAATGGCCTTCGTCAAGGCTGTGTGATGGCCCCAGTACTTTTTAATCTGTACTTCGGTGTTGTGCTTGAGCGGTGGGCACAAGTGATGCAGGACAGCGACCATCCACCTGGCATCCTCATCCAATTTAGCATCAATGGCAACCTTTTCTCTAAGCCCGCTCGCCAGTCTACTGCCGCAATCATCAACGACATTGAGTACGCAGATGACGCGGTCTTGCTCGCTGAAGACCGCCCTGGTGCTGAGAAGTGCCTTGAAACATTCTGCACGGTTGCTTCTTCCTTTGGCCTCTGCGTCAACGCTGCTAAAACGAAATTTCTCGTGGCAGGTAGCCAAGTCAACATGCCTGATAGAGCCGATATGAACGTCAACGGTGATACTGTGGAGCACGTTCCATCCTTCATTTATCTGGGGTCCGTCGTGACACCGGATGTCCGCTCCTCTACTGACGTCAGTCGCCGCATAGCTGAGGCTTCCAAAGCCTTTGGAGCTCTTCTTCCAGTCTTGTCGGATCGCTCGCTGTCATTAGTCAGTAAGCGAAAGCTATACGTGGCCTGTGTCTTGTCCATTTTGCTGTACGGCAGTGAGTGCTGGACGCCCTTGAAAGCTGATAGTAGACGTTTGGATGCCTTCCATCATCGCTGCATTCGCACAATATTAGCCATCCCTCGCAGTCAGCAACAATCCGATCGCATCACGTCTGCGCAGTTACGTCCTCACTGGGGTGACCCAGTGCCACTCTCTGTTAAGATGCGCCATCGTCGTTTAGAGTGGCTTGGTCATGTGGCTCGGATGTCAGAGGACCGTGTCCCATTGTAGCTGTTGTTTGGTCGTTTGTTGGCTGCGGTCCCAGGCGTAGGTGGAGAGACGTTGTGGCTACTGACACGAAGTCCATTCCAAACTGGTTTGATTGCGCACAAGACCGGTCAGCTTGGCAAGAGCAGGTTCTGGTTTTTCAGCCTCCTCGGGCAGTAGAGAAATCCGTACTCTGCTCATCTTGCAACCGGGCTTTCTCTCGTCCTCAAGACAAGGCACGGCACAAGTGTTTGGCTGAGCGCCAACTTCCAGTCCACCAACAGCGTGGTTCAGCACAGTGCGTCAGTTGCTGCCGATGGTTCCGTAGTAAGGGTGGGCTTGCAGTTCATCGCTGCCAGCCTGCACTCCCTGAACATGCAGATACGGCATTGACGGCGTCTCTCGCTAGTTGCTGCTTCCAGCATTGTCAACGCTGCAATCGCTGCTTCAAGTCCCGGGCTGGTTTTAACCGCCATAACTGCAACCGTGGAAAACGTCTTGCTGCAGCCGATAGGGAATCACTGCCGCTGATCTGCATGCATTGCCCGAAACGTTTCCGACGACAGCAAGATTTGACGAGGCACCAGAAGTCCTGCCAATGACGGTGCACTCCAAACTCTGGCCCCCT